TTTCGATAAATAATAATCGTTACTGTCTAAAGAAGTAAAAATTATTTTGTTCAGATTGCTAGTTTAAAATATAGAAAATATATTTTAAATATTTACATTTATAATATGTGTTAGTAACAATTCTTAAGTAACATATAAATATAGATAATATCTGAATATTTATTTCTAATTCTTAAATAAATTATTTTGGAAGTTTTCAACGATATATATTATTTATTAATTGCAACGTTCAAATATCAATAGTAAAAAAGCAAAGAAAAGTTTTCTTCTTTTAATTTAAATATTTCTTTTATTTTGAGATATTTTTCGTTATAATTTTGTTTATTTTTTTCGTTTCGCGATGTTTATATTTGTTTAAATTAACCCACAATCGATAGATAATTGAACATGGCACATTATTTTCATTTACAATATCTTTCTGTCTTTCAAGTGATACATTAATTCAAATCAAGCTTCTTGAAGAAATACGAAAAAATATATTCAATTAAATGAAAAAACGAAATCTAAAGTGCATTTGTGATAAATCCTTACTCAACAATAATGAGGTCGGACTGTACGTATATATATCTAATATTCTTTAGTTATATATTTGAAGAAAATATAATCTTGATCAAATCGTTATTGTACGTTTAACTGTAAAACTCTCTTGTTATATTTTACAAATTTTATTTCAACGCTTAATTTTGTCATTATCATATATAATAATTATATTTCTTAATGTTAATTTTTTTATATAATATTGTTTCTTCAGAAACCTTTCTGTCAGAATATTCAAAATAGTGAAAAAAATTGATAAAAAGCAATTATTAAAAAGTAATTATGTCTTTAATATTAAAACATCATGATGAATGTAACATGTCATAAAAAATGCGAATTATCAATCTATTTTACAAAAACTAAACATAATATATAATTTAATTTGTAATTTTTTCTTTTTCTTTTAATTTATAATTACTATAATTACTAATTTATAATTACTAATTTATAATTACTAAGTTGACACAGTACCACATTAAATAAAGTAAATATAATTTAATTGAACACAAAAACACAAAAAATTATGAATTATAATGTGAATTATATGTAAATATAATGACTTATTTATATATGTTTCAAATAGCATTCTTACCGTAATTACAATTTACATTAATTAATTTTTATAAATTAAAATTTAATTAATAAATAAAATATAGAAAAATAATT